AAAAATACTCATAACTTACCTTTAAAAATAAACTTTTGACTGAAGTATAATATACATAAGAATGCACATAAAACGTACACAGAGCTTGTCAAACTTTCACACACTGAGCACATGTTTATCCAGCAGTCAGATCAAGAAATAACAGCAGCAGCAACTCTGAAGCCTCTTATACTCTTTGTTATTACCTCTGTTCTCCCAGAGGAACCTCTATTCTGACTTCGAATAGCATAGATTAGATTTTCCTGTTTTTATGCTTTATATAACTAGAATCCATCATTTTTAATTGTGTCTGGCTTCTCTCACTTAATATTATTTATGACATTCGTCCACATTGTTGGTTGTAGTCATTGAGTTTATGATAGTTGCTGCATAGTATTCTGTTTTAGGAATATACCACAATTTATTCATTTTGCTGTTGATGGGCCAGATATTTAGTTACTTTTGGTTTGGGACTACTTAGAATGTTGCTATTCTAAACATTCCACTAAATATGTACTCATTTCTGTCTGATGTATACTTAGAAGTGGAAGTTTCAAGTTTTAGAGTATGCATGCATTTATTTTTATTTATTTATTTTTTAAAGATTTTATTTATTTATTTGACAGATCACAAGTAGGCAGAGAGGCAGGTAGAGAGAGAGGAAGGGAAGCAGGCTCCCTGCTGAGCAGAGAGCCCAATGTGGGGCTCGATCCCAGGACCCTGAGATCATGACCTGAGCCGAAGGCAGAGGCTTTAACCCACTGAGCCACCCAGGTGCCCCTGCATGCATTTAGTTTTAGTAAATACTGTCAGGTTTTCGAGACTTGTGCTGATTTTAATTATTTAATATTTCATGGTTTAATCCCTGGCAGAACAAGTTTCTTGGGGAAAAGAGACTTTATTCTTCCACTAGAAAGTGACACTTTCTTGGTTATTGTGGTATGCTTGGTCTTCAGACTTTTGATTAAATTGGCATTGGATTAAATTTGTGTTAATTGGGGGGAAAATCATACTCTTGTTTGTTTATACATGAATTCCATTTGGAACTAGCCCAAAATCTTTTGTCAGGATCCTGATTCTTTTTTGTTGTTGTTGATTTTGTAGAGGGAAGTTGTGGTGTCAAGAAAAGTCTCCATTACTATGAGAGTAAACATATGGGTAAGATGAGCCCTACCATGAACCAGGTTATAACTAGAAGCACTGATAAATGTATACAGATAGCTATAATACAAGGTAGAAAATAACAAATGATAGGATTGAAATTTATGTGTATTGTATTAGTAACATATAATAAGATCCAAAAGACTGGTTATTTACGGAAGAGCTTAGATAACCCTGTGAGATACAGCCTTTAGAATGAATAGAGTTTTTTAATAGAGTATGGTAGATTGTTGGATAGAATTCAGTTAGCAAGGGATAGGGAAGTATTTCTGAGTGAAGTGACCTAAGAAACAAAATAACTGAAGTCAGAAGTTCCAAAGGCCAGCATGTAATAACTAGTAATCCAGGGATGGGACCAGATCATCAAATACCTGGTAATAATGTTATGTAGTGGGCAGTAAGGATTGTATGAGTGGGTAGAGATCAGTGACAAGGACCTCATATGATATGTGGAGTTTGGAATTTATCCTGTAGGCATTGAGGAAGCATAGACTATTTTGAGCTTGAGAGTGATATGAACAAAGTCAGGAAGATAATTCTAGTAGAGGAAGTAAGGGATAAAGGCAAATGGGAAACCAGATGAAGTAATGAGGGTCTGTACTATTTTGGTATGCATGAAGGAAAATAAAAGGAAGCAGGAGATATTTCAGAGGTAAAATTTATAAGAAAAGCGTGGTACAATGGAATGAGCATGGCCTTTGGAATCATACAACTTGTGTTCGAATCATAACCTTTATTTACCAGTTAAATGACCTAAATATAAATAAAACAAGTCACCTAAGAGAAAACTCTCCTCTCTGTGAGCATCTTCAAGCATTAGAAGTATAAAAATGAATGATGCAGAGTCTGGACTGGCAGGTTTGGGCCAAATTGTGTATAGTTTGATCTGAAATATTTGGGAAATTGGGTTTTATTCTGAGAGCAACCAAAAGACAACAAAGGAAGAATTGGGGGTAGTGTTGGAATATGGGGGATTTCTGAGATAGAATTGGTAGCACTGGGAGAACAATTTGTTTTACTGGGAAAGAGGGGCCTTCTGTTTAGAATATGACTCAAAATTTTCCAATTTGGGAAAATGGACTGATAGAGCCATTATTACCTCACAAAGTGTTTCTTAATATGTGTGATAAATCTTTATCATGCCTCAGAGCTTAGTTTATATGTCACTTAATGAAGAATGCCTTTCCTGTTTTCCTGGATTAAGTCAGAACTCTATATACACTTACCATATCCTTACTGTTTCTCCCTCACAACACTGAATTATGCATTGCAAGTGCATAATTTACTGTGGCTTTTATTTGTGCCCATTTTGCTTATTATATGAGGACAAGAGACTATGTCTGATGTCTTAACTGTGTTTTTATCCACTTCACATGGACTAAAAATCTATTATAATTTTTAATTGTGTTATAATTGATGTAGGACATTGTATTAGTTTCAGATAGTAGACATTTTTTGAATGAATGAATAAGAATTTGAAGGTTAACAGGTATCAACCTGCATAGTGGTTAGGCTAAACAAAAATGAGAGGGAGAAAATAAAGAATGGCGGCAACCAATTTTTTTCAGCCTCTAACCAGAAGAACAGCAAGATGAGGCACATTTAAGGTGGTGTGACTTTTGGAAGATAACTGAGTTTGTTTTAGATGCTAATGATACATCAGGTGTATGTGGTAATTGAGAGTAGTAGGCTTAAAACTTAAGAGATAAAGGCTTAAAGATACAGAGTTAGGGGTCCTAAGTATAGAGGTGCTACAGAAGTGGATGGAATTGCACAGATGAAAAGGGACCTAGTGCAAGAAACTTGAGTGACCAAGACTGAGAGCTAGGAAGATGAACCAACAGACCTAGTTGCTGTCACAGGTAAAAGAGTGTATTATGGAAGTGAGAGGAGGTGAGGAACTATTAGTGGTGTGGAAAGCTACAGAAATAAAGTAGGATTAGGGGCTACAGTGTTTAGAATACTGAGGAGTGATTAACTTCTATAAGAAAAATGTCAGTAGATGGAAGGTTTTGTATATCAGAGGTTGAGCTAATCCTTTTCAGGTCTTTTAGCAGTTAAGGGAAAGAAAATAAGGAGCTGGTACTCAGAAGGGTTAATGGAGTTGAGGGGTTTATGTGGGGAATACTATATGAAAGCAGTATTAAACATTTAGCCTAACTCCAGAATAGATGATCATTTGTGAAATTATAAATTGTGAAATTTATAAATGTGGAAAACTTAAGAGTTTCAACTTACCTATAAATTTAAGACATAACCACAATGCAAAGGAGAAGGGAAGCTTTACCTTTAATTAGCTTTACCTATAAATTTAAGACATAACCATTTAGCTTTACCTATAAATTTAAGACATAACCACAGTGCAAAGGAGAAAGGAACTACTGAGAGAACACAACAAAAAAGTGATAGAGAAGGTAGACTGTGAAATTAAGTTTTGACCTAGGTTTACAAGGAGGTAAAGGAAATAAGCTATTGGAGAGGAGATGAAGCACTTACCAGATGTAGTAATAATAATACAGAGACGTGTGTGTGTGTGTGGGGGGTATGTGTGTGTGTGTGTGTGTGTGTGTGTGTATATATATATATGGAGAGTGAGAGTTGGAAAATGGATCATTTTAAGAATAATGAAAATGTTAGAGGGGCAGATGAATGTAGACCAATAAAGGCATTTCTTAATTAGATTTTATTTCTTATTCTTAGATTATTATTAGACTGAGCCCTCTATTCGAGAGGGACTCAGATACAAATAAAATAAAGGCACTAGGTCTGGTATTAGGGTGCTCATGGTAAATTTTCAAAGAGACTACCCAAGATTTCTGGTTCTTACAGTTTGTCTTACTTATTCTGTATCATTCTAAATTTGGTATATTTCCCTATGATTATGTGTTCCTATTCTTCTAAGGCAAGGTTTCTCAAATTGAGATCTGTGTATTTCCTGCAGTGTATGTTAAAAATGCAGATTCGTGTACCCCCAGTTTATGCATTAATCACAGTCTTTGAAAGGAGAGATCAAGTATCCACTTTTTTACAGATTTTCCCAACTGATTCTGTTATTGAATAGATTGAAACTTGGTCCTCTAAGATCTTAAAACTTGGTTAATTAGGAAAAAAAAAAGTTTTTATATATATATATATATACATATATATATATATGAAAAAACCAGCTCTCAAAGATTAAGAAACCCACCCAGTGCCTATGGCATTTATATATATATACATATACATATATATATATGTATATGTATATATATACACATACATACATACATACATACACTGAGCATTTTCTGCCATCAACCTGTAGGGCACTGGGTGGGTTTCTTAATCTTTGAGAGTTGGTTTTTTCATATATGATAAAAGGAAATGCATTAAAATATTGCAGTTCTTGTCCCCTGAGAAATGCTCTGATCATAAACAAATGAGCTGCTAATCCAGGAGGTAGTGGACAGGTGCCTATAAAATGTACCTCACATAGCAGATGCTCAGCATAGAGAATTTAATTAAAAGCTAAATTGTTTTAGGTATCTGAAATAATTAGAGGCATACAGTCAAACAGTTTTCATACATTTTCAGCCCTTTTGGAGGGAGGGAAGAGTAAAGAAATGGCAAGCTCTAAGCTCTGTGGATGAATATGGGAAACATGGCTCTGTCAGCTGAGAGCACTGAGGCAACAGGGCCTAAACCACCCTTGCTTGTATCCTGGCAACAACATTAGGGACACTTGTCTGTTCCTGTGTTTTTGGATATTCATAAATACTAACAAAATGAATTTCCTTTTAATGAATTTTGGGGAAATTTTTCTTTTGAGTTTACTCAGTTGTTTATGTGAAAAGAATTGAGTGAGGTGTTTTATATTTTAGGTTAAAAATCTGTAAGAACCTGATTTTAGAATTCACCAGCTCCTCAGAAGTTTGGCGAAATATGGTATGTTTCTTTTTTTATTTTTTGGAATTCAAAATTGCATGTATATCTGAATGTCATAGTTAGAATAAGGCAAACATTTTCAGCATATATGAGCACTTGCATTTTTAAAGCATTTTGCTAGGTACTAAATCACTGTGCTACCAGGTAGACCATAAGGGACGTAAGTGGGATTCTGAAAGAAATCAGAAAAGATTAGTGTGTCATGAGAAGTGAAATCTTACACATGAGAAGATTGAATGGGGCAGGTTTAGCTATATGAATTAATAATAGCTTCCATTTGTTGAGCTCTATGTGCCAGGCACTGTTCTGAGTAGTTTATATGTTGGTTTGTTCATCCTCAGGACAGCCCTCTGAAAAAGACACTATTACAGTCTTAGTTCTCCCTGTAAATGAAATGAGGCTCAGAATGGTTAAGAAACTTGCCCAAGAGTTGCCATCTAGTAAGTGACCAAATAGGAACTTGAATCCAAATTGGCTCTGGAGCTTGTTTGTGCTCTGTTGGACACCGGACCTCATAATAAAGGAGACTAGTAGAGAGAACTTGACTCAGTAATTTTCAAAAAACATGTCGCTCTTCAACGAATTAATTTACTTCAGTTGATTAGTTAAGAGATATTTTAACTTTATTATTTTTATATTGACAGATACGAAAGTTAGTCTTCTTTGGATCCTCTAAATCTACATACACATTTAGTCTTACGAGAGAGAACCCAAGAGGGAATGTTGTTCATTTCAGGAATGCCATTTCCTATTCCTCATGTGGCCTCAGTAATGTCCTAGGCTCTTATTAGGAGACATGTAACTATGATAGGGAAATTGTATTATTTCTTCCAAGGGTTAGGAGTCCCATTTATTGAAGTCACCTAAAGTTAATTATATATACTAAGGCCAGCCCTCACCCTTATTTGAATTCGAAGCCCAAGTGTATAGGATGCTGCAGAGGTCTGGGCCTAAGCACTGATATTTCAGCTCTTCTCTTGGTATTCTCAGGTACCTTACTATTTTATATTGAGTTCTGGGTCCATGCTGGTAACTACCTTCTATAGTTGTCTCTTGTCACTCTGAAGGTGTTAACTGTCAAGAATATTTGTTTCTCCCTCTTAATTTTCTCATTTTCCTTAGTTCACTTTTCAGATTTGGCCTGGATATACAGTTGGTAGGGAAATAATTAAGGGGGAAAACTAGCTGCACAAAACGAGTTCTCCATACTGGAATATTTCAGATGTGTATCTTTGCCAGAACTATATATAACATTAGGATGCCTGATGAACCATGACACTCAAGAAAGTTCAGCTAAGGCCAGGTAAGGGAATCAAAAGATCCTAGATTGAGGGAGGAGGACATATTTCTATATTTTGCCAATCTCTTTCATGAAATTAAGTACTAGTGGATTTGTGGCTGAGAAAGAATAGAACAGATTTTCATGAAATACTCAAGAGGTTTGAGCTAATGTTAGATTACCTTACTTAAATATAGAATAAGTAGGACTAGACTCACTGTCTCTCTCTGTGTGTGTGTGTGTGTGTGTATAATTATCTGTTAAGCATTTGGCTACCTGGAAAACCCTATGTCTCATTTAAACAATTGCCGTAATAGTGGGATCTCAATCCACATTCTCATTCTTTGCTCAATTACATATATATAACATGAAACTCTTGTATTGTAAGACCAAGAAATTCTAACCCTGGATAGGAAGTCAGTAGATCTGAGTTTTAATCTTTACTTCAGCACTAATTCTGAAGTCTTGGGCAAGTCAATTAATCACTCTAAGTCTGCTTAATTTGTTTTTTTGTTTGTTTTCTTAAATTTACTGTAGTATCTGCCCTAGTTAGGTAGAGCCAAAGTTCTCAGGAGACTCAAGCAAGATACTATTGACCAAAGTGCTTTGTAAACTGTAACACTCCATAAAAGTACAAGAGATTATCACCACATTTTCTAAAGAGAAGAAATCATTTAAGGGGATAAAAATAATGCTGGAAAATAGTCCTTAAAAACATTTCTATAATAATTACTCTTCTGATGAATGTTGCATTGACACTTAATTTGAAGCTTTGGAGATTATTTTTTGAACAGTGGATTGGATTTATATATTAAAGTGTTCTAACTAAAGATTTGTTTAATTTATTAGAGTTATTAAACCTACGCTCAGATCAAGTTAGCAGCTAGACTGGTGTGACAACCTGTTTTTAATCAGTGACTCAAAGCTGTGATCACCCTGATGTCACCGAATGGCCACAGCTTGTAAAAGGTAATTTTGAATGTTATTTTACAGCCTTTAAAAGGCTGTTATTGTAAAGTAAAATACATGCTATAAAAAATGAAGAAAATGTATAGTTGGCAGGAATGATGTGAATACCTAAGTTTTAATGTGCTTCTCCATTAAATATCTTTCCTAAAATAATTTTATGCTTTCCCTCCCTCCCCGGCCCCCAATCTATGTGCATAAGTAAACAGGAAAGTGTTTCTCAAAGATTTCAAGTTTTTAAGTAAACATGTTACTATGAACATTATAAAAACTATGAATTCTCAATGCGTATTTTGTGTGGTGAGAGTTTTAACTAAAATGCTGCTCTATAAAACTGGTATAATTTACTTTCCTAAAGAGTTACAGTGGAGGTTAAGGAGTGGCTTATAGGCTAGACAGGCTGCACCAGTTATTGGAAATGAGCCTCCATATGAGTGTTCTGGCTCATCCTGCAGTATTTAGATTTGGAGGCATTTTGTGATCACTTTTCTGTGATCCAAATCAAGACTTAAAATAGAGACTTCCAAGATTTATTTTTTATTTTCTAGTGTTACTTATTATTTGTTTTGAAATTTCTTTTCTCGTTTGTAAGTCTGACAAACTTTAGGCTAACCTAAGTCAGTACTTTCTGGGTCTCCCCCCCCCCCCCGATTATGTCCTGAATTTGGTAAAGTTAGAGCATGTACTAGATCCTTACTTCCCAAAACTGGACAGTAATGAGACTTTTTAGTGGCCAGGGTAAAGCTTGGAAACAAATGCTAGATGTTAGGTGATTTCATAGTTTTGGAAATGAATGCTAACTTTAGGATATATTTTGGTATTATATTATTTATAGTATTATAGAAATATAAGCAGAATGACTAGAAATTTATTCAGACATGTACTGTTATTACTGCAAGAAAAGTGTTTCTGTTAATTCTTTGTATATTCACTTTTCTTTTAATTAAAAACAGTTTGCGTTTTGAGTAGAAAACAACTTGGGCTAATAACAATGTTTATGAGACCCAGGATAGACCTGTTTCAGGGTAATACTCTTTCATCCCATTCTTATTCTTCTGTCCTCCTGTTAGACTGGATTGGTTTAAATCACTTGGTTTGACAAATAAATGGTTTTTGTAGCTCTCTTGAATATATGTTAATATTAAGCGATAATCCACTATTTTATAATTTGGTGACAGTTTGATGCTAATGTTTACATATTCTATTGTTTAGGGAACAGAAATTGGAAAAGAGTGTAGTTACCATTTGATGATGTATTTAACTTCTGTCCCATTTCTCAAAACTTTGTAGCAGTTATATATTGTGCTTCTAAGACTCCGATTTGTTTTCCTTCTGCTTGTGTCTTACCTTTTTGCAGTAGTATTTTAATTTTCCTGTCATTGTGTCCTCATTTTTTTCCCCTCTCTCTTTCTCTTTCCCTGTTAATTTTTAAAGTTTTGCCGCCTGCGTGTTTGAAAGCTTCTAATCTGCCTCTCTTCCTTAGTGCCAGCAGGTTTATTTTTTGTTTTGCAAGCCTGCTCTGCCTCCTTACAGTATGACATCTGATGCTGGAGGGTCGCACTTTCAAAAATGAGTCAGCTGGTACATGGGGTTATCATCAGTTTTTAGCTCTTCTGTCTGAGACATACAAACAAGTTTGGAAGCAATCTTGGGGTACTTACCCACAAGGCTGGTGGAGACCAGGTGTGTCACAAAGGTGATTTGCTTGCTCCCTGGGGAAGAGGGTGGAGTGAAATTTTTGCATTTGTGTCAGTGCCAAGTCACTGCCACCTCCAGCATGCCCCAATTTTTAGTTCTAATATGACTTTGTGCAAAATTGAAAATGTAAAGATACTTCAAAGAGGATCTAAAATATCAAAAATATTTGAGCTGCTGGAGTCTTGCCTTTTTTTTTTCTTTTTTTCTTTTTTTTTTTTTTTGCATTCTTGTCCTTGGACTCTGAATGAACTGCAGTGAGGGGTAATTTTGAAAGTCTAATAAATAAGATTTTTAAAAGCTAAGAAATGTGGAAAACAGTTTGATTCTTTTTCTTTTCTCTTTTTCTTTTCTTTTTTTTTTTTTGCTGGTGGCTCTGATTCTAAGATTCTTTTGTTAAAGTTGTTCACAATTTGAAGTCTCAAGTCAGTGATAAATTTACAGATCAGGTTGTAATGTCATTTGGAAAATTTAGTTTTTGATCTCTAAAAAAATTTTCTGAGAATTTGAGTTAGCAATCAATATTATGTTGATTTAACTTAGTATATATTGACTGATGCTGTTTATAAAACTGAATAGGGTAACAGGAATTTATTTTTTTAACTGCGTGGTAGGAATAGGCAAAATTCATTCATACCCCAAAATGAAAATAAGACTTTTTAATGTCTTAGAATTTTGAATATTTTTGTGCAAGATAGTAACAGTATATTAAAAAAGAATAGAAAACAACTGGCAACTTTTTATAACTGAAATCAGTTCACAGTTATCCATAGTAAAATTTTAATACCCCAGCTTGGTATACTTTTGATAGGTAGTGAGTGCATCTTGCCAATATATTTTCAGGGAAGGTTAATTTCATTGTTGAACCAAGATAATCATGATTAGAATGGTAAATCTGACTTAAAGTGTCTCAGAATTCACTAAGCCTATTAGATTAAATTATTTAGAGCAGAAGTTAGCAAACTTTTTCTCAATGGGCCAGATAATAAATAAATACTTTGGGCTTTGTGGGGCATATAGCTCTGTTGGAGTTTCTCAACTCTGCTCTTGTAGTATCAAAGCAGCCATAGACAATATATGTAAATGGATGAGTTGTGGCTGTGTTCTAATAATACTACAAAAATAGGTGCCTGACCCAGGCCTTAATGTGTTGTCCTAGGAAATAGTTCGCTGACCCCTGACCTACGTATAATTTGGGACTATGAATACCAGTGAATACTTTTAATATTTTGGATAACTAATAGTTGGCTGCAGAAAGTTCCATAGTTGTATGTTTTTATTATAAATATTTGACTTTGTGAATAATTATGATTTATTATACATTTTACTCCTTTGTATGTTGGTATCTAAATGTAGTGTTTACAGTTTCCTTTCCTTAAAAAAATGCACTGACTTTTTTATTAGTCCAGCTTTTATAATAAACGTGTTGAATGGCAATCTAATTTGATCACTTTTTTCTTCTGTTGAAATCTTTAGTTACTTTTAAAACTGTTAACAATTAAATCTTGTTTTCAAAATTATCTACTAATATAACATGTTGCCCCTTTTTGGAATACGGAATATTTTGCTTAACTTTCCTCAATTGCATTTTACAGATCACCAGGAGAACCTCAGTCTGACGACATCGAAGCTAGCCGAATGTAAGTGTAACTTGGTTGTGGCTGTGGTGTCTTCTGAGTTACCCTAGATTGCTTTAAAGGTATTAAATTATTTGAAAATAATTTCTAGTTATAAGAGAGGAATATATTAAAAAATAAATTGAGAGAGAATAGTGTACCTATTTTTCCTACCAAATAAATACCTCTAACCTTTGTACCATGTCACTAAAGTTCTACTTTTAGATAGATGAGGACCTTCTTTTTGTTTGTTTGTTTTCCTTTAAACCCCAACCCTATTGTATTTGTATTTAAATTTGTACACATTTGTATAATAGTCTGTACCTTGTGGAATTTGGTACTACTAGAGGAAAAACTTTGGAGTCAGACCTTATTGCAGTTTTTATATCATTGTTTTATTTTTTTTTTTAAATAAATTCTAGTGGTTTGATCCAAATCCCATTACAGTTGTATAAAGAAATAAAATTTTGTACTTATATTATTAAAAATCACATTAAAAAAAAAGTTGTAGACTCCTGGATTATAATGTGTTTTTGGTTACCTAGCAGTTGTGGGGAAATAGGGGAAGGAATTCAGGTTACTATTTTTCCTACCAAATAAATACCTCTCAACTTTGGTACCGTGTCACCAGATTTCTACTTTTAGATAGATAGTTGTAGACTCCTGGATTGTAATGTGTTTTTAGTTACCTAGCAGTTGTGGGGAAATATAGAGGGGAAGGAGTTCGGGTTAACGATCATTTATTAAACACTCCTTATTCAGCTGGTGATGTGTTGTGGATACAAAGATGTATAATAATTAGTTCCTAACCCGCAGAATTTTATAGTCTTCTCAGTGTGAAAGAAGCAAATCTTTAGTCCTTGTGGTAGAAGGATATCATTATGCAACAGGAACATAAGGGAGTACTGGTTACCTAGGTATACAGTAGGAACCTAATCCATGTGGTAGGGAAGTAGGTACCAGGGTAGGTCAAATTAAATCTTGAAGTGTAACTGGGAATTAGGTAGCAGAAAGCATTGGCAGGGTTATTCTAAGCAGAATTGTGAGTGAAGTTATACAGCAGCATAGTGAGCATAGGGAACAGTAGGCAGTTGAGGATTTTTACATCGTAAACTGAAAGGCCCAAAAATGAGGAAGGTAAGACTCAATGGAAGGGCTAGAGCTTTGCCTGCTATGTAGAAGACCTAGGCCTATTTCATAGGTATTTGGGAGTCAATAAAGAATTTGCTAAGGAAAGGGTAGTAAACCTTGTTAGACATAAAATGTTAATAGTTCTGGCAGCAGAGAAACAGAATTGAAGAGAAGTGTGTGGTGGTAGGATGACCAGGGCTTTAGCAGTTCAGTCAGTGAAAGCCTTAAAAAAAGACACTTGACATAATAGAAATTCAAGATAACATTCTCTCTGGCTGTAAGAAAAATGTTTAGAAAGTGAAATAGGTAAGACTTTAGAGTTGGTTATAAGAATTTAAGAAGTTTAAAGTAATGGGAAGGTGGTAATTATTGAAGCAAGGTTTTTGAGGTAGAAAGGGTTAGAATGAAGAATATAGGTATAGGGATTGCTCTTGAATAAGGGCAAAGACCCCATCTTGTTAAACTAGAAGGAGGTAAAGTTGGATATGTGATGTTAACTGTGTTTGTAGGTGAGAATGGGGAAGACAGGGTCATTTTTACCTGAAGTATTTTCTCAGTAAATTTGTTTAGGTCTGCTACACCACTGTTTCTGTCTCCTCTGAGATGATACTAGATAACTTCCTGAAAAGGAGGTTCAATTGTTGAGTAAGTTTAGAAACTGTAGTTAAACAGGTTTCTTTACTGAAAATAATGGAAATATACTTTAAAGTGCTGTTATACATTGTGAATCTCCAGGAAGCGATTATAAGATGTATTTCTCAAATTTGTGTGTCTATGTAACTTTTTTTTTTTTTTTGGTAAAATACATGTAACAAAGTTGACCAACTTTATTTTTAACTGTGTAATTCTCTTATGTTCATATTGTTGTGCAACCATTGCCACCATCATCTCTAACAACTCTTCATTGTGTAATACTGACACTACTATATCCTTTAAACAATAACTCCCGATACGCCCTTCTCCCCATCCTCTGGTAACCATCATTCTACTTCCTAGGTCTATGATTTTGACCATTCTATCTCATGTACCTGGAATCATTTTTATCTGTCTTTTTGTGATGGTTTATTTCACTTAGCCTAATTTCCTCAAGTTCACCCGCATTGTTGCATGTCAGAATTTTCTTCCTTTTTGTTAATTAATACTCTGTGTGTGTGTGTGTGTGTGTGTGCGCGCGCGCGCGTGCGTGTATGGCATTGTGTTTATCCTTTCACCCATTGATGGACACTTGGGTTACTTTCATGTTTTTGCAATCATGAATAATGCTCCCATGAACATGGGTGTACAAGTATCTCTTTGAGACCCTGCTTTCATTTCTTTGGGTATATACCCACAAGTGGGATTGCTGGATCATGTGGTAATTCTTTTTTTAAATTTTTTGAGGAATTTCTATACTGTTTTCTATAGTGACTGTACCATTTTATGTTCCAACCAAGGGTTAAAATTTTTCCACATTCTTGTCAGTACTTGTAATTATCTGTTTTTGATAGTTGCCATCCTAGTGAAGTTATTTTTTAATTGTAGCTTTGTGGCCATGTAACTTTGTAAGAAATATGTTTTAATAGTATTTGTGGAACACAGAGTTTGATTAGGGAACTTGAGGAGCCTGTGAAAACTTGGAAGAGTCTGGGGGAAATGAGTGAAGTAGAAGACCACGTAATACTGACTCTCATATGCTGCTGAGTGGCCCTTTGAAGTTAGGAAACTTATCATACTCGGAATTTCAAGACTTTTCTTTAATAGCCAGAAAAGAGGTATGGTATTTCAAGGTTGGGTGCTAGCAAAACAGATAGGATAGAACAACTAATGGCATGCGCGTAGGTTGTTAACACTGAAGTAGTTGAATTTATGTCATTGGTGATGGCCATAATTGGGTAAGTTATAAAAAGCTAGATAAGTCAAATAAATAGTTCAGTGTAAATGAAATTTTTTAGAACGATGTAGATGATGATGATCAAGGGTTGGGTGTTCAATATTCCTATGGTAGTGATTGGCTGACATAGAGAGAAGGTGAAGCTTTTTGAAGAAAGTCAAGTATTTTGGATGTGAGGGGAGCTCAAGTGTTGGGATAGATCATGAACATAGACATTGCAGTCAGCATGACCGTGATGTAACTGGGGGCAAAATGGAGCCTTTAGTGTAATGGGTATAATTTACCAGAAGAGAGGGTAAAGGTATTCAGGTAGATGACATGACTTTTGAAGTGTAAGTTGTGTTTGTGTTATTTTTTATTTTGTTTAGATGGACACTGTTTTAAATGCAAGGAATTAGAAGAGGAATAGTGGACTTACGGGTTTTAGTTGTCTATGAAAAAGTTCACAGAAAAGGGAAACAAGATAAGCAGTGTCTTTTGGAGTAATCCAGACTTTAGTGAAAGCTAAGAGGTTGGGGATTATATAAAACAGTTGAAGATTAGGGACAACCTGTATTTTAAGTGTTTTTCTAGAGATCTTAGTAGAGTTAGATTGGTGGGACAAATCAGTAGTAAAGAATAGGAAAGGGTAGGTGAAGCTTGGTGTACTTCGTAGTAAAAATCAAGGATGGCAAGAATCTGAGGCATGATAGGATATTGTCACAAGATTCCAGATGAAGCTCTGGTATTAAGTTCTGGTTGAGTTCAGCAAAAATCTTGACCATGTTAAGGTAGAGTAGCAGGAAATTAGACTTACCACAATGTCTTGATAACGGTGTGTAAGGTTCCAGACATAATCTCTGTATTATAGCTCTAAGTCTTCATGTCTGCCCCCATTTTTCAAATTCCTATACCTGTGGAAACCATACCAGGCAGTAGTTCAGTAAGGTGAATAGGTCAACGTTTATTCTACCATAATTTTGTGAGTCTTGATTTACAGAATAGGTAATGAAGGATTCTTGGTTTTACCTATGAATTAGTTATGATCTTTGATTAATGGCACCATCTTATATTTATTGAAGTATGATGTTTTGGACACTTGGAGACACGTTTGCATTTGGCATGTTTTAACTAGGGAGCATCTTGGGTGAATTTTAAAGGGTAATTATATAAAATTAAAGACTATATGTATTTGTTTTGAGGAATTCTTAGTGTTGTCTATTCTCTAGGGTGCAGAAAAACAGTAAGAATTTTCAACATTTGCATGCCATTCTATTATAGTCTAACCTAGAAATAGAACTAACACAATAATCCAGATCTTTTTTTTTTTTTAAAGATTTTATTTATGTATTTGACAGAGATCACAAGTAGGCAGAGAAGCAGGCAGAGAGAGAGGAAGGGAAGCTGACTCCCTGCTGAGCAGATAGCCCGATGTGGGGCTTGATCCCAGGATTCTGGGATCATGACCTGAGCCAAAGGCAGAGGCTTTAACCCACTGAGCCACCCAGGCACCCCAATCCAGATCTTTTTATCCAGTTGTGTGTATATTCTCTCTGTAGTTTGTTTAAACTTATGTATTAGTGGCATCTTTTTGCACATAATAATTTAGATTCTTTAATTTTTTTAATGATTTCAAAGCAGTTTCTAATAACTACAGATTTCTTATCCTTTGGTATTTACTCTCCACGCCTGTATTTAATCCTTAGGTTGTTTTCCGGTGTATAACGAAGACAGTAAATGGAACAAGGGTAGGAGTATCAGTTGACTTAGGGTTCAGTATATATCAAGGCTATGTAAATAAATACTTAGTTTTCTATAAATGTTGTATGACCTAGGACCCAGACTTTCTAGGTAAGAGCTTTATCAGCTCTCATATTTTTACCTCCAACTCCGACTTACCCTCTAAATTGTAGACTCATATATCTAGTAATTGAATGTCTGATTTTCAAACTTATCAAGTCCAAAATAGCTCTTCATTTTTATCCTCTCAAATCTACTTGTCTTGTTATTTTGCCATCTTAGTTGGTCGCAACTCTTTTTTTTC